GCATAAGTACCTTCAAAATAGCATATATAAGCATGCATAAGGTTTTCATAATTTTTCCCATAATTTTAAAGATTTTAAATTGATTTATTTCCTTCCCTTTTACTCATAAAATTCCCCAATAATTACCCTCAAATTATTGTTTGGGTGATGTAGTCATTTAAATTCCATATTTATGCCAAAATATGGTTAAAAAAATTTTTGTGCATTTTATAATTGCATTTTGTATTTTTAAAGCTAAATTGCATATAGTTGCAATATTAGCCTTATTAATGTATAATCACGTTTATATATGCAAAATTGATCTCCAATATTTTTAAAATGTTAAATATCTATTTTAAATCATCTTAGTACACAAAATTATTTTCTAGAAATTATTTATTATTTATTATAAATTATATGGGGGAAAATTGGCTATTTAAAATGTAGCGAGATTTGCATTTCAATTTCAGCCTTAATTTAAACCCAACCCCAGCCCAATTTCGTATTAAAAACACCCGACCCAAACCCTGAACCCGCTACCCGACCCAGCATCAATTAAATCCTGGTCGTTGATCTAAAAGATCAACGGCCCGTATTAGCCCTTACCATTTTTAATTCCAAACGACCCCTAACCCTAGCACATTATTCAAAGACCGCCTCCTCTGTATTCTCTCATCTCCTCTCCTCTCTCAACCACTCAACCTAACCCTAGCTCCTTCAACCGCCGACCTCCCTTTCTCCGATCTTCTCCAGTGATCTCTCATCAACTCCTAAGCCTCCAATGGCTCCTCTAATGTAATGCTTGCCTTCTCTAAGGCCTTCAAGGGCCTTGGCCACGCCGGCTTGCATTTAGGGTTTGTCATTTGGCCGTTCTTAACTACTTCAGTGTGATTTCGAGCAAAATCACGCTGTACTTGTTACGATCCTTGGGATTCTAAACAGGTTCTTTCATCTCTACTTGGGTTTCTTCTGAAACCCTAATTTCTGCCTACATCTCCTAGGTCTTACGATTTTAAAACGATTTGAGTCTGTTTCTTTGATATTTTACACTATCCTTGGAACTCTTTACAAGAATCATCGATTCCAAAGTGTTTTCACCTTCTTCTAAAATTAGGATTTTCGAAAATTCTTCTAAAACTTTATTTATACTGATTTTTATGTTTTTTCTCACATACTTCGACTGATTCTGTGAGTTTGCTACCTTTTCAACTTGCCTATGTTGAAAACCCTAATTTTTCTAGGTTTCTTCGTTTGATTTTGTGACTAGCCTGTTCTTGTTTGAGTTTCTATGACTAACTCGCTTCGAATGTGTTTCTACTGAGTTTCTTATGCCTAACTTATATCACCTCTATGTGCTTATGATCATCTTGACTGTTCAGACTTGCCTCTTTCTGTTGATACTGTTTAACCCGCATGTTTGCTATGTCTGGTTATTCTAATCTTCTCTATTTATATGCTGAATACTGAATCGTGACTTCCTCTTTGATTGATTCTGGATTCCCTATTTTTATGGTTTGATTGAAAGACCTTCCTTTAAACCCTCAATTTCTACCTCTTCTATTCGAACTAACTGATTCACCTACCTTGTCTGCTGTGGTACTTTATTCTTACTGACTATTTCCTTAATTAGAGTGTTCTGAACTTAGCCCTAATTGTTTACCCTATACTTACTGAATTTGAATCTTTTCTTGTTTGTCATACACTGATTTCTTTCCTTATCTGTTACTTATTATTACCGTTTGAATTAATTCCCTTAACTTAAGGGAGTACTTATCCTGATTTTGCTCCAATTGATTCTGAGTTCCATAATTACTATGCTACTATGATTCTTACCTTATTTTTATCTAATTTCGAACTACTATATATACACACTCTCTCATTAACACAAACACACGAACATTTTGGTTCAAAAAGCTCTCTCTCACACTTAAAATTTCTGCTCTCTCTTTTGTGCTACTTGCTATTATTCTGAGTTAGCCGGATGCAAGCCAAGGCTAACTATTGTGCTCTCCTGCTCCTTCACTTTTGTTTATTGTCTTCTTTACTGGTATGTTCTAGTTTCAATTCAAGTTTCAACACTAATATGGTTCTTTTATTGCTTCAGTTCATCCTGTTTCTAGTTTGCTTTGACTTATGGTTTTCCTGTTAAACTTGCAGATAATATGATTACATGATTTGCATGTTATGTACTCACCTTCCTCAGGATCAGTATGAACATGTTACCCCCCTCTCTATGTAGTCTGTCTCCACGTGCTTTTTCTCTATCTAGTTCCTGGTATGAGTCTCCTTGTGAAGTAGTCTGCACTCTTGAACTTGTATGGTTCTGGGATTGATCTTAAATCATGTGGATCCTATACTGAACCCCCTTAAGCACTGCTGGTTCTGTGACTATGGCTGATCAGTTGTGTCTGAGCATGTCTGTACTAATTCCTAAGACCTTTGCCTGTCATGTGTTTACAATCAAGTGCTCTATGTATCCCCAATCCCCATCACCCCTGTATGTAGGTTCTTTCCTCCTGTTTTGGTCCTGTGAGTATTGCTGATGTGTTTTTGGGCTCCACGTTTGATTTGCTGTTGTCTAATCATGTAACTCTCTCTTTTCAAAGTTGTTTTACTGTATGACTCCCTCTTTTACTCCACAAATTATTTCAAACAAACCTCCTTTTAATACTATTTTCCTACTAAGACTTTTCAAATTGTGTCAAACACTCTCACTCTACTCCTAAGTCAATAGGTTCTGCCCCCTTCAGTATGTGTACTGCCTTGGAATCCTCTTGAGAGACCTCCGAACTCTGGCATACTGAGGCTGGCCCTTCCACACTGCACTTATTCAATTTGGTTACCAAGTCTAGGTGTAAGCACTGCCCGGGATCCTTGAGATCCTTAGGGAACTTTGATGCACCTAGACTATGTCATTGTCTACGGAATTTGGGCATTTGAGGATATTGGAGGCTTTGGAAATCTGGGCCTATCTGTAGGCTCCCTATAGAATAACTTCTTATTTTCTTATCTACTTATGTAATTCATTCATATGGTCTGTAATAATTTGTAAACGAATATTGGGGCACCTAGTGATAGGGGGGGTAGTTACATGTCTATGGGGTAGTACGAGTAGAGATCATGCCTATAGGACTTTACATTTCGATATGATTGCCTTACCATGCCATAAAACATGCCTATAGGACTTTACATTTTTTGCTATGCTTGCTTTACCATGTTATAAATCATGCCTATAGGTCTCAAGTGATTCTATAAGAGAAATCATGTTTGTAGGTCTTAAAATCAATTTAACATGTAGATGCCATGCCTATAGGATATAATCCCAATCCAGCTTCCGTTATAACAAGTGTTTACATGTTTTTTATTTGTCATCATGCCTGCAAAGTTTCTTAAATCAGTATTAAAACTAGATAACATGCCTATAAGGAACGCCACCAGAAATTCTGCCTACAGATCTCAACTAGTTTAGTTTTAATAAATCAATTCGATTAACGATTAGCTCACTTCGAAACTAGTTAATTAATGGTCTATTTTCCCTAAAACAAGTTCTTTCAAAAACTGCCTCAAACTATCGTTAGACAGCAATAGGGATCAAAAGAGTCTGTATTAAAGACCTGCCTTGTTTCACTATATAAAATGTAGTCATCAGTATTCCGCGTATAGGCAAGCCTATAGGACGTTTTCAAATCTTGCAACTCTGAAACTGTTTATGTGACTTAATGTTGTTCTGGTTTAACAGGTTTTAAAAAAAAATTAGTAGGCAACATGCTAGGGCCATTACTTCGGAGTTTACAAATTAAACTGCCTGTCTTCTGTATATTTCACTTAGACATCATGCCTTAGGATACTGCTTAACAAAAGGCCCTTATTTGTTCTTGAGTCGTGCTGCCTATGTGTATTTTTTTGAGGAGGTAATCCTGAGCCTCTATTTGCTCCCTTTTATCTTATGTGCTAAAGTCCTCATTGTTCTTGCTTGTCGCCTTAGTATTTTCACCTTTAAAACCTTAGGGGTCTGTCTCGAACCACCTATAGGTAAATGTCCTAAATCCCTCCAGGACCATTAAGAAGGGACGGGTAACAGCACACAATAGAATTCATTGACCAACACTCGCTTTGAGTGACCACTAAGGGGATGGGAAGGGTAGATATGGGATATGATTACTACGCGCTAATGTCACGTGTAGCCCCTCATTGAGGAGTGTTTACCGGACATTGTGTGGGGTGATCCTATAGGCTAATCAACCTAGGACTCCTCCTTTTCAAAATTCCTTTTTGTTTTATAATACAACTTGTCCAAAACCTATGTCTCATTGTTTGAGTTATACAAACATGCATTATTTGTTTCAAGTATTTATTTTGACTAATTCGTAAATATAATTTCGGCGGGGACCCATAGTTGTGGACCAAGAGGGTTGCCTAACACCTTCCCCTCGAGGTTATTTCGAGCCCTTACCCTAAGTCTCTGGTAATGCAAACCAATCCAAGAGTTAATCTCTCTAGGTGCCTTAACGCACCATATCTCGTTAGGTGGCGACTCTTTAAATACCCAATTCCCAAAAGGAAATAAGTTATCATACCCCATGAATGTCGAAACCCGGATCTCTCTCCGCGGAGGGAAAAAAGGGGGCGCGACACTAGGTAGATTATTAATCTTTTGCCTTCCTCCGTCTTCGATAATGACGGAGGACTTGACAAGTACCTTTTCAAATCCCTCAAATCCTGCAGACATTCCGGGGTCCATTCGAAGTTGTTCTTCTTTTTGAGTAACGAGAAGAAATGATGGCATTTTTTCGAAGACCGGGAAATGAATTTGCTCAAAGAGGCCAATCTCCTCATGAACCTTTGAACCATTTTTACGCTTGATAACTGGTCCGGGATGTCTTCGATGGCTTTAATTTTATCGGGGTTAACCTCAATCGCCCTTTGTGACACCAGGAATCCCAGGAACTTGTCGGAGTTGACCCCGAACATATATTTCTCGGGGTTAAGCTTCATGTTATGCTTCCTTAGGATGTCAAAGTTTATTGCAAGTGTTTAAGATCATCACCTGTGTTCAAAGACTTAACAAGCATATCGTCTATATAAACTTCCATGGTTTTCCCTATTTGTTTTACAAACATTTTGTTTACGAGCCGCTGGTAAGTGGCTCCGGCGTTCTTTAGACCAAAGGGCATCATATTATAGCAATATGTGCCAAAATTGATTATGAATGAAAGTTTTTCCTGATCCTCCGGGTTCATCTTAATTTGGTTGTACCCGGAGCAAGCGTCGAGAAAACTCATTAACTCATGCCCGGCCATTGCATCAATTAATTGATCAATGTTCGGCAATGGGAACGAGTCCTTTGGGCACGCCTTATTTAATTCCTTATAGTCTACGCACATGCAATATTTATTGTTCTTTTTTGGAATTACTACTACGTTAGCTAGCCACTCTAGATGCTTTACCTCTCGGATTAAACCAATATCAAGCAGGCGAGTTACCTCTTCGCCGACGAATTTGTTTCTGGCCTCGACAACAACACATTTTTTCTGTCTTACCGGAGGAATGCTGGGATCCAAGCTTAGCTTGTGTACGGCCACTTCTGGTGGGATACCTGTCATATCCGTATGCGACCACGCAAAATAATCGATGTTAAATTTAAGAACTTCAATGAATCCAAACCTTAGTTCGGGGTGCAATCTTGTCCCCAAGTGGAATTTTCTCTCCAAGAACTTTTCGAATTATGCAACTTGCTCTAGCTTTTCCGTAGTGGATTTTGTTGCGTTTGTCTCTTCTGGTACCTGAAAATACCTTGGCACTTGATAAGATTCCGATGCCTCTTTCCTCTAGTTGACTTCGCTTGACTCAGGAGCAGGTTCCGATTCCTATAATTGTTATGCTTCATGCTCCTTCCCTTTGTTACTGGAGACCGAAATTGCATTCATCTCCCTTGCCGCCGGTTGGTCACCTCTTATTTGTTTAGTTCCTTCGGGAGTTGGGAAGTTCAGCAACCGGTGATATATTGATGGCACAACCTTCATCTCGTGCAACCATGGTCTTTCCAGGATGATCTTATAGTCTATATCACCATCCACTACTTCGAAGAGAGTCGTCTTCATCACCCCTTTGACATTCATGGGCAGCATGATCTTTCCCCTGGTTGTTACGCTTGCGCGGTTAAGCCCGACGAGGAGTTTTGTGGCCGGAATGATGCTCCCTGTGATCTTGGCTTGCTCCAATTCCCTCTATTTTATAATATTGGCCAAACTCTCCGGATCCACCAGAACACGTTTGATTTTAAAATCTGATACATTTAAAGAGATTACCAATGCATCGTTGTGCGTAGCAACAATCCATCTACATCATCCTCCGTGAAAGTAATTTCGTCTTTGGCGACTTCTCGGAGTCTCTTGTTGTGGTTGCCACCGAGAAGGTAACCCCGATAATCCCGTTCCCCCTAAAAATCATATTGATCGTCAGGCGCGCGGGATCTTCTCCTGCTTTTGAGGGTTCCATGTTGTCACTGTTGCGATCATAATTATTTTTAGCCCGGTCACTTAAGATTTCCCTGAGATGGCCATTTTTCAGCAGTGTTGCCACCTCTTCCCGCAGATGCCAGCAGTCCCCAGTTCGGTGACCATTCATCCCGTAGTATTCGCACCACAAATTAGGATCCCTCTAGCTGGGATCGGATCTCATTAGCTTCGGAAACCGTGCTTCTTTAATGTTCCTCATAGCTGACACAACTCTACTACACTAACGTTGAAGTTCTATTCTGAAAGTCAAGGGTAGGAAGAATCCTGAGAACCTGACATTTCCTTGTCATGTAACGACCTGTTGTTCCGGCCGCAAATTCTTCTATCGATGACGAACCTGTCCGCCGACCTAAAATCTCTGCCGTGTCCTTCGGCCCGTTTATAGGGCAAAAACCATCTCCTCAAAGACCGTCGATCTATGTCGAAATCATCTTTTGACTTCCCTTTATTCTTCTCCCAGTACTGACCCTTATCTGATACCGAAAAAATGAGCTGATCATCCTCAATCCTTAACTTCGACTCGTATCGGTAGCGAACATTTCCCAAGTTATCGCTTGGAACTCGAGCAAGCTTTCTTTCAACTTACAGGAAGCATAAGAAATTCTCGGATTCAAACCCTTGGTGAATTCTTCAGTCGCCCATTCATCCGGAACGACCGGAAGCAACATTCTTTCTTTCTAGAATCGGGTTACAAATTCCTGCAGCAACTCGGATTCTCCTTGTGCAATCTTGAATATATCAGCCTTTCGGGCCTGCACCTTTCTAGCCCCGGCATGGGCCTTAATAAAGGAATTCACGAGCATCTTGAAAGAGTCTATGGAATGCTCGGGTAAAAGCAAGTACCACGTCAAGGCTCCCTTCGCGAGAGTCTCTCCAAATTTCTTTAGCAAAACTGATTCAATCTCGTGGGGAGCTAAATCATTCCAATTCACCGACGTTGTATAGGTGGTGATATGCTCCTGAGAATCTGAATTTCCATCATATTTCGGCATGTCTAGCATTTTAAACCGCTTCGGGATCAATTCTGGTGCCGCGCTTGGTTTGTACGGCAATTGAGAGTACTTTCTTTGAGTCTAGCCCCTTTAGCACTGGTGGTGCGCCCGAGATTTAGTCTATGTGGGCGTCACTTCCCTCAAAAAATGTAAAAGTTCATTTTTAAAGGGATCACTCTCGTTGTTGTGACCGGAACAGTTTCCCCTGGCCTTGTCGACCCTTTGCGTTGTTTGATTTGAGGGAGCACCGGGAGGAATTAGACCTCGTCCATTTGCGTTATTGGAAGCACCCGATAACGTCTGCTTCAGTTCTATCATAACCTTATCCTGTTGTGTGAGATGACCTAAAATGGCCTCCTGTTGCTCCTGCAACACCCTTACCGCTTCGACGACGTGCTCTTCTTTAGCATCATCAGGAGTCATCTCTCAAACATGTCGCAGGTTACCGCCTGTCGTGGACCGGAGTGGTCTCGGTCCCCTCATTGCGGGTATCACTAATTGAATCCTCGTGCCGAGGCTGATTCCTTGGGTCTCAAGGTTATGTGTGTTGTTAATACCAGTATCTGCCATTTTCTATGATTTTTTTTGCTAAGAACAAATAATCAAATACGTTAGTAAAAGAGGCAATGACCAACTTAATTACACAAATACGTTAGTAACCGTTTTCTTTTGAATGCTTCAGGGTTTAATTAATGTTGTCAGGGATTTGTTGCCTGAGTGTGAACACAGGATGTGTGCTAGGCACATCCTTGCAATCTGGTCAAAAGAGTGGAGAGGATTGGAGAGGAGAAATACTTTCTGGATATGTGCAAGAGCTTTTAGTGTTGCAGAATTGAATGACCAACTTGATATGCTAGACAAACTTGGGGATGGCATATGTGAAAGCTTACTCCACTACATAAAAGAAACCTGGTGCAGACCTTATTTCAATTGTGATAAGAAGTGTGATATTATTGACAACAACATGTGTGAGACTTTCAATTCTTGGATTATGGCTGATAGACACGAGACAATCATCACAATGTTAGAGAAAATAAGAATTAAGCTGATGATTAGGATAGGTAAGATGAGGGAGTTCTGTGAGACATGGATATGTGATATCTCCCCAATTGTAATGAAGGTTTACCAGGATAATTAAGCAAAAGTCTATGAAGTGTACTTCATGATGGAATGGTGAAACAAGCTATGAGATTGAAGATCCTAAGCACAAGCATATGGTATCCTTCGTGAATAAGACCCGTAGTTGCAGAGCTTGGCAGTTAAAAGGTATCCTCTGTTGTCATGCAATTGATAGCATGCATTTCAAGGACATGAAACCTATTCACCACATTGCACATTGGTATCGTAAGTACATTTACTTGAAGGCTTATTCAACATTTATCCACCTTGTGCCTTGCATGAAACAGTGGCCATCTTCAGGCCACCCCCTATTGAACCTCCCCCTATTAGAAAGATGCCTGGTAGACAAAAAAAACAGGAAAAGAGAAGAAACTAAACATCCAAAATCTGGGAAGCTTTCAAGGAGAGATATGGAGATGACTTGTTCCCTATGTGGTATATGTGGACACAACAAGAGGGGATGCCCCAGTAAAACAATTGCTGATGGAAATATTGTACCAACTGGTACACCTTCATCTGCTGCTGGAAAGGGTAGAGGAAGAGCAAGTGGAAGAGGAAGAGGAAGAGGAACTAGTACTACTACAACATCTAGTTCACAATCAGCAAGAGGTAGAGGAGTTTCTGCAAGAGGTAGATGGGTTGGAAGAGGTAGAGGCACCGGAAATAGGTTGTTTCAAGCAAGCAATGGGTTCACTTCTTTTACTGTAAGTGAACTAACTAAAGCTATAATTCGTGTATCTTCTTTATATTAAATGTAATATTGTAACTAAATATAATGTACTTTGTAGAGTGGAGGATAAAATCCAAGGGTCATTAGCACCGGAACTAAGACAAAGAGGTCTACAGCTTCAGGGGAGGAATGTGCTTACCAACCAAGAAGTGTCGGCTTGAGGTGGATGGTCAAGAAAGCCATAAGAACAAGACAAATTCAAAGAGCTGCAGCATCACAACACAATCTTAGTCAAGCTAGTTCATCATCTCAACCAACGAAGAAGCAGAAAAAGAAATGAAGACTTTGGTTGTAGTTTAAGCTTTATGTTTTGTTAAGTGTTTCTATGGACAACAAGGTATTATGTTTGGTAAAGTGTTGCTATGGACAACTAAGTGCTATACTTTACTCCCTCCGTTCCAATTTATGTGAACCCGTTTGACTGGGCACGAAGTTTAAGAAAAAATGAAGACTTGGAATTTGTGGTCCTAAACAGGTCAAAAAAGGGCCCAGAGTATTTGTGAGGTTATAAAATGTGACGACCCAAAGGGTCATCACCTGTTTTATCTTTCATTCCGTGCTTCCGAGACCTTGAAAACCTCATTTTTACTTGCCTCGATTTGCGTGCGCAGTCCAGGCGCGTAGCCGGAAAGCTTAAATATGAATTCTGTGTAAAAATTTATGAATTTTGATATTATTATGATTAAAGTTGACTTTGGTCAACATTTTGGGTAAACGGACCCGGACCCGTGATTTGACGGTCCCGAAGGGTCCGTAGAAAATTATGAGACTCGGGCATATGCCCGGAGTCGACTTCCGAGGTCGAGAGCCCGAGAAATGAATTTTTCTGTGAAATTGTTTTTCTGAAATTTATATGGAAATTTGAAATGAAAATGGATTAGAAAGCGTTGGTATCGGGCCCGTATTTTGGTTCCGGCACCCGGTACAGGTCTTATATGTGGTTTAAGCGCTTCCTGTGAAATTTGGTTGAAATCGGACGTCATTTGACGTGTTTTGGACCTGAATATCAAAATAATGAAAGTTTATGAAGTTTGAAGAAAAAGTGATGATTTTTGAGGTTTGATTCCTCGTTTATGATGTTATTTTGGCGATTTGATCGCACGGTTAAGTTCGTAGGATGTTGTTGAGTTAGTGTGTGTGATTGGTTAGGAGCCCCGAGGGCTCGGGAGTGTTTTCGGAGGTGTTCGGGGTGGTTTTGAACTTAGTGAAGTTGCAGAAAAATCTGCACAGGTGCTCAGTAAATT